CGACCTGAGCGGGCGCGGTACCTGTCGGTCTGCCCGGACCCTTTGCCTCGGGGCGACCTGGGATGTTGGAGGATGCGGCCTGCGGGGTCCCCGGTGCAGAGCAACTTTTCCCAGAAGGTCTGGTGGGTGCCCCCCTGCCCCCTCCGCCACTCCCACGTTCCTGGAGCGGGAATCCGGCCGCCGCTTCTCCCGGCTCAGCCCTCTCCCACTGGTGCCCCAGGCAGCGCTGTGCCCGGTGGGTGCGCCGCCTGCCTCAGTGGCCCCATCGGACGATCCTCTGCTCAAAGGAAGCTCTGTCCTGGCCGCCCCCACGCGGAGGGTCTCCCAGGTCCAGGGCAGGGGGGACCCCAGCACCGGGCCAACCCGAACCCCCTGCTGCCAGCGCGGGTTTGCTTCTCCAGCAGCGAGTCTTGCTCCATTAGGGACCCAGCTGTGTGTGGGGTGTGGGTGAGCTGGGAGACCCGCAGTCAAGCCCGCATTTGGGCCGCTGGGCCCCAGTGGTGAAGTGGGCAGGGGCCCCAGGACCGGGAGGGGCTCTCCTAGAGCAGGTGGGACCTGGAAGTGCCAGGCTGGCCCGGGAGTGAGGCAGGGGGCTGGACCGAGGGCTGGGCCTGGCTGGGTAGACAACTTCTCATTCCTGAGCTACTGTCTGTGAACACCAGCCCAGAGCACCTGGGGGAGGGGGCCCACTTAGGGCACTGGTGTGTGTGCCCGGGAGGTGGGCCCGGCCGGGGGTTCCTGTCCTGAATTCACCCAGAAGCCTCGGTACAGTTCCAGACCCGGGACATGCACCCAGGGGTGGGGGCTCATCCCAGCCGGGAGGTTAGATGAGCTGAGCCTTTTCCCAGGTCGCCAAGGGAGTGACCTGCAAGCCAGGGCCCTGGGCCCGGCTGCCCTTACTGCTGCCCCTCAGTGCAGGTCAGGAGCCGGATCGGGAAGTGTGGCTGTGGGGAGAGAGGGCCAGCGGTGCCCCGCGGCCCCCCTGCTCTGCGAGGCATACCTTGAGGGGGAGGATGGAGCCAAGCCCAGGTGACCTTGACTGGGAAACCCCCACCACGAGCGAAAGGGGGGGGTCAGTCCCAGCTCTGCTGGGGTGGCTCTGCTTCCTGGCCCATGGGGTGTTGGGGGAGGGGGAACGCCTCGGAGCTGGGGGGAGCGCTGGCCTGCGCAGGGGGCAGACCCAGGGGCTGGGGAGGGGGTGGGGTGCTGTTAATAATTTCTTCCCCATGTTCCCCGCAGCCCCTGCGCCTGCCTCCCTCGCAGCCAGGCAGTTCCCAGCTCTGAGCAGCCAAGCTCCCTTCCCTGAGGCAGGCTGTCCACCCCCACCCCCACCCCACC